AATTTGAGGCAAATAGATACTGGTGATACAGTGTCTGAGACATCCTGCTACAAAAGCCAATTAATACTTCTTCTTTCAAATTAGAGAAAGGATGTTTGCTGAGACTTAAAACAATTAAAGAGCATTGCTTTTTAACACTGACACCAAAAATGGAGGTTGTAGTTAGGATAACTCATTCATACTGGCTAACTGAATATTTTAGCCCTCTAATGATTGGCAGAGTATGAATCTGGCAGAAGACAAGGACAGGGACCCACTGGACTAAACCCATAAAAATCAAACAGAGACAGGCCCTTTAATCTGGAAACTGGCGTTTTGTAATATGTGAAAGACCATGAATGTTTATTGCACCATACATGACCCTGCCTCGGGGGTCAGGACTAGGCTTATGACCTCTTGTGGCAACCCTATTTTTTTATTATAATAATCCATGATTAACAAGAAATCCTGCTATTACATTTTTATTTCCTCCCCCGCCCAAACATTCAAAATTCTTTTTCATGGATTTTGCTACATAGTTTGAGTTAATGTGGTAGTCAACACATTTCCTCCTTTTTTTTAAATTAAAATTCCCTCCCAATGATGTATTGTGTTTCTTTGTTTAATGCGGTTGTGAGACAAAAGATAAAAGATGAATCCATTAAAGTCAGTAGGAATGCTCCTTTATCAACCTTGGTATCAGGCCATACTGGGAATAAGGCCCTTCAAAAGCATAACAGTACATCCTTAGTTATTGAAACTTAAGTTTTTTGAAATTCCCTATTATCTCAAATGGGGTAATGCCTTAAAAAAAAAAAAAATCAGGATTACTATAATCACGACATCACATGATTGTTAGAATAGTTTATTAATCCAATAAATCATGGGGAAAAAAACCATCACATTAACAAACCCAACCCCCCCTTCTGTCCTATAGAAATGTTCCATGCAACATATTTTTCCCCACTTTGTCTCATCTGGTTTATCACGTGACCATACTGGTGAACTAGTCACCATGTAGTCAAGGTAGTGGTTTTTCTCAGACTTGAAGAGGATAACACAGATTGGAACAAGCCCTGGGTGAAATGGAAATTCCTTTAGCCTTAGCTAATGCATTTTAAATGACTCCTACTTACAGTCATCTCATTACATCTTCTATTTGTTAGACAATTAAAGACAAATAAAATCTTGTCTTCAGCTGGAAAGTTTTACATTCCAGTGTATATGAAGGATGTCAAATACAGCCCACACAGAGTTTCACAATGTGGTGGCTTTCATCTCCAGTACGGGGTTGCAGCCTGTGAGGCTACAGATCTAAGCACAGAGTGTTCCATCCTGCGCAGAGGTGACGGGGCATCGCATGCTGGGACATGTTGTCTCCAGGTATCATACGATCTTGCTGAAGAGGATATTTGCAATCTGCTAACTCTCATGAGGCACAGAAAATGTAGTTTTGATGTGAATTGAGTCTTACATGTGAACCGGTGTACAAAAAGACTCAATACGGTTGTACAGTTAGTTAGCTTGTTGTAGAAATATTCACCCATCAGTCCACTAATTCTCTATGTGCTACATACCCCAATAGCATATACCATACATTACATAGACTCGTATATGCTACTTTTATTCTTAAAACTCCTCATTCATCTCCAGTATTAATTATCTTCGTTATGAAAACAGTCTCTCTCCTAAAAGATAAAGCTGCAAAAAACATGCACACAAATACTTTTCCTCACCACTCAAACCTGATGGCATGTCCCTGATAATGAAAGAGAGCATAACACTGGTTATGACTGAAGGTTTTTGGAACAGAGGGAATTTCATTGTAAATAACTGATATTGTAATGATCTGATTCCAGATAATAGGGGATTTTAGAACACCTACATTTGAATAATTAAAGGTCCAGGAGTACAACCCCAAAGGGTATCACTCCCAGTATGACTCAAAAATGAGTAGATCCTTGTAATGTGCCTTACCTTCATGGTTTGCCAATGGAGAATTATTATAATGCTTAGTTCTACATATAACAACTTTCACCATCAAAACATTTCAAAATATGAAGAAGTCTTATCCAGGAGTCAGGGAAGTACAAGAGGGTAAATGCAGGTACGGAGTTGAAGGCCTTTTCTATCTGTAGCTTTTGTACCCATTGGTGCACACTTAGAGGACCGCACTGATTGAACTCAATAATGTGGTCACTGTTGTGCCAGCACAACTTTATAAACATGTTCAAAACTGTGTATAAATAAGCCCTACGTGATTTACCCGAAACCATGGGCAGAGGGAGGATTAGAATAAACCAGAAATCCTTGTCTCTCCAATTCAGGCTCAGATCTCAGGACCACACATCTTGGTAGATATTTTATTCTGTTCATGTAGCTACTTCTTGACTTGAACTTTACAATTGGATCAACTACTATAAACTCCCTGCAGAGAAAAGGAGTCAGATATTTATGACCATTTTTAAAGCAGTAGGCAAGTGTTTTCATTTATATTTTCAACTCTCCAATTTGATCTAACCCTCATTCCCTTCAAAATAAAATGTATTGCCTGCTAATTTGCCTGCTTCCATTTGTCAGAGGTGAAGCGTTTGCCTTGTGGTTTAAACAGAAATTGATGGCAGGTTTTGTTTAAAAACCACTTCAATTCCTGTAGTGTTTTATCTTGCCAAAGTCTCTCTGCCCTGGCTTCTTCCATGCTATCACTTCCTCTGTTCTATAGGAATAATGTTTGAGAGCTTATTGCTGCTGTGGAAGCAAAAGGGACAGATAAAACATAGTCATTTTGTAGGGCCTTAAAAAAAAAATGTTAAAAAAATCACAATTTCGTAACTCTTCAGTAGACACAAGAGGAAGCCAAAATAATACAAAATGTGGTCTTCAGATATTTTAGTTTCTAATGGAAAGATTGTGGGAAGTATTTCTTGTTATTTATTCATACAATAGTTCTTTGAGGTAGTGAAATAATAAAATATAAAACATAATTACAAACACAGATTTACTTGACTTTACTTTGAGTATTGTGGAATCCAACGTGAACACAACTTGGAGTCTAAAATACCTGAGCCTAGAGAATCCCAGAATGACAGATACTAAACCTGATAATGCGGCCCTGCAAGATAATATTTGATAGGGCTACTCTTACCGACAGAAACAGCATGGTGCACTGGTTAGGATAAGAACTGAGTTCTGTTCCCAGTAGGGCTGTGGAAAGCTTTGGGTGCTGATTCAATCCGAAGGAGATTCGGTGGTCGAATCACCAAATCCGAATCAAATCAGGAGACCAATTAAAAGGCCTGAATCAATTTGAAGCTCTCCGAATCAATTTGGAAATATTCGGAGAGCTTCAGAGATTTGGGCAGTCCCTGCTTGCCGCCACAGGGAGCTGGGCCTGGACTCTGTGCTGGTATTAGGGGGCGAGGGGACCATGGGGGGACCCCTGCCAGGCCCCATTCCCTGCCTGCCCCCTCCAGCTCCCCTAAGCACCGCCCCCCATGGGTGTCCCGCCCTCCCCAGCTCCTGGCTCTTTAGGGAAAAGAAAAAAAAAAGGGCGGGGGGGGGAAAAAGCCGGTGAGTGGGGGCTTTTTATTTTTATTTTTTAAAGAGCCAGGAGCTGGGCGGGCGGGCGGGCGTCGTGGCAATGGGAGGCAACAGCATTGTCCCCCAGCCTGGCAGCAGCTGGTGAGTGGGTGGCTTTAAAAAAACTGGGAGCTGGGGCCAGGAGAGTGGGCAGGGGATGGGGGCTCAATGCAGTGCAGGGCAGCGGGGGGGGACAGCAGGCATTGCCCCCACGCCAGGCAGGAGCCAGTAAGTGCCGGGTTTTTTTTTTCTCAAAGAGCTGGGAGCTGGGCCGGGTGGAGCAGCCATTGACAAAGCTGAGAGAGCGGGCAGGGGGTGGGGCCGATTCAGACGATTCGGCGGCGGCTGAATCTCTGAATCAGATTTGACTGAATCGATTCGGGCAGTGATTCAAATCACCAAATTGAATCGCTGTTCCCTGAATCGGCTGCATCCAAAATGAATACTAGCCGCTTCGTACAGGCCTAATTCCCAGGTCTGCTGACAACTGTCTGTGTGATCTTTGCTGAGACATTTAATCTCCGTGTCTTATTTCCCTCATCTTTAAAAATGGAGATAATGTGGCTTAGCTGTCTTCATAAAATGCTCTCGGAGCTTATCAATAATATGTTGCTTCCCTCCTTAGTGTTATTCACATGAGAGACCTTCCCCTGCAAACCTCGTGCCATTCTCCTCTAGCACCCTTCTGAACAATTAAAAACTGAAGAGCAACCATTCCAAGGGACAAGGTGACCTTCAGTAAATGCCTTTACTGTCCTTATACGCTTCACCTACTACCAATCACTCCATCTATATCCCTAGAATAACATCATAGTAAAATGGTAAGTGAGAGACAGTCTCAGGGCCTCTTGCCCCAAGCAAGGGTACAGCTTAGAAATTGTAAAAACCACACGGTACATCCCTATGTCTTGAAAGAATATTTATTTGCAGGAAACCCCAGAGTGACCCCATGGAAACTAGCCCTTGCTTTGATAGCTTCAAACTCAAACCTCTCAAACTGTGCTGGTGGAAAATATTCTGATTAATTCCTCACATAAACAGCCAATTTATAAACACAAGCACCAGACTGAAGGGAACAGTAATACAACAGGGCTTCATGGAAAAGAGGTACTTGAGGCAAATTAGCTATTTACATCATATATTTTCACGCTCTGCTTGTAATATCTTGCTATAAGATTTTCTCAATTCTGTTGTAGCAAGTAATGGATAAATAAATCTGGATGGAATAAAAGCCTATTTGAAACTTCATCTCGGGCAAATGAACAGAATCTTCTTTTAAAACTTGAACATATTTGGTAATTTCTGCATTCTTTTGAAAAGAATCACAGTCCCTTAACGTCCTAGTGTAACAATGGGGGCGGGAGGGAAGGTGGTATCCATGATCAACTAAGTCATTTATTCTGTGAATACCAATGTTCTGAAAACCTTTAAAAACCTCTCTGCTGGTGTACTCATGGTGCTAAGGAGACAAAGAGGACTACTTGAGCGCATCCACCTCTGAACCTCAATACCTGAATAGATCTTGCTTGGAAACAACAATGGGGTAAGTGCATACCTGATGAAATGCGTTTTCTCAAACGTGGCTGCAGAGAGCAAAGGCAACAAGAAATGCCACTCCAAACGTACTCCCGTCTCATGGAAGCCAGATCTCTGAAATTTCCAAGCCAGGGGCTCAGAGCCTGCCCAACCACACAGATGCTCTTTGGAACTGGAACGCCAAAGGCTTTGGAGGTCCAGCCATCATAAGAGACAACTCACTCCCTCTTCTGCCTTTTCACCACACTATTGGAAAAAAACCGTGGAGGCAGTCTACTGGCTGAGAAGCAAGCAATTTCTAGCCTAACTCCATGTCTCCCCACTAAGTTAGATTGGAGCTTCAGGAATATAAGGCCAGTCTCATGTTCTAGGATTTCCTATGGCAGAGAATAAGAATTGCAGTCAGATTGAGAAAGCAGATGCATTTTACATATGTAGCTTAATGAAAGCTTCAGTGATTTGCTTAATTTGACAGAACTTGGCTAACCATGATCCTCTCCCCATCAGGCATCATTTCATTTTTGATGTCAGTACAGTGTCTATGGAAACTTCATCAAAATGCAGACATTTGTCAAGTGTGTACTGATGCCTGTGATTACCATTTCACTTCTTTTCTGCTCAAAAAGAGCAATAAACAACTGCATCAGTTGCAATAAAGAAAATACAGCTGCTCCCAAACTTCCTAGCCCTTGGCTACACTGAAAAGAGCAAGAGGAAATTAGTTCAGTGCTTTTGTTTACTTTCACAAAGTCTCCTCTGCATTAATCAAATCAGACAGCCCTTTGTATGGGCTGGGGGAGAGGATTTGTGTCCCTTTCAGACAGAAATTAGAAAAACTTCAAGGTGATGTATTAGAGTAAAGGAGGGTAGGTAAGATACTAAACCAAGACTCAGAAGACCTGCTTTCTATATCAGGTGTGTCACTAACTGGCTGTAAAACATATGGCAAGTCCCTTTATTTCTTTGTGCTAGAGCTTCACCATCTGTAGAAGGAAAATTATGTTTGCCTCCTTTAACAAGCACTTTGATACCTGCACACAAACACCAGTGTGCAGAGATACATAAAAATCATTATGCTCTGTGCCTATCCAAACCACAGATCTCATAGCATTTTGTAAAGATTACAAATGTAATTAAGCCTAAAAGCCTTTTTGAGAGGCAAGTAAGGTTGTGAAATTCATTTTACCAATGGTGAATTTAAAGTACAAGACACATGCACAAAACCATAATGTGCCTTGTATGCTTGAAAAGATGCAGCTAGAAAGTCTCTTCCTTCACTGGTCCTTCCTTTTGTGTGACAAGACAAGGTATTTAGCAGAATTCACAGATTCCTTGGCATCTGACAGGGTTGCATCATGAGCACTTCTGCTGTGGTGACTAACTTGTGACATCTGGGCTGCGAACCATGCGCCTTAGTGCCTGTGCCACCTCCCAGCCCCCACTGTAACAGGTGAGACCGTACCTATAAGAAGAAGCTGTTTTCTATATGAAAGCCACTCTGATGCATAGAAGGAACAACAACCCGACACAAAAAGGGCACATCTACGTGTGTTACTAATGCAACGCAATAAACTCTAGTGCAGTTTGCACTAGAGTTTATTGCTTCTGGAATAAACATGCGCCTGGGACCGCAGCATGTTGAGCCAGGGCAGTGCGGCCCTGGCTGACAGGGAGTGCAGGGAGTCAGCCTGCTAGCCTAGAGCTGCTGTACCCCAGCTCAGTGTGCTGCAGAGGGGCTGGCTGGGGCACAAGGGTGCTGCAGAGCACGGCTAGCTGGAAGGCAGCCCTGCACTGTAGCACCCTTGTGTCCCAGCAGTCCCTGGTCACAATATAGATGTGCGATGTGGAGGAGTAAATAATTCTGCCATAGGCTAGTACTTGCATTGAGCAGTACTATCCTGGTTAATTAGCTTACTGAATGAAGCCTAATAGTACCACACGTGTAGATGGTGATGCTTTGCGGAGAAGCTAATTAGTCAACTCTGCAGTAAAACGCATGGGTAGATGCCCCCAGCATCATCCTGTCTTCTCATTTCACCTGTAGGGTGAACCTGAGGGCTGCGTGTATGCAAACATAATGGTTTTCAGTTACAATGTGAAGACACATTTTAAGGTACAGAACCCAGGCAAATAATTGCTAAAAGTCTTGCCAATAGCTGCTCCTGATATTAACTCTTAACCTACAGAACAGCCACTAGACAGCAATGTAACATTTAAACACTGAACTGCACCCTCAGGGCAATGGTGATCAACCACTATATTATACAAACTCTATTATGTTTAAATTTAAATATAGTATCCTCTCTTGGATTGCACTTTCTCTCTTGACTTAATTAAGCAGCATGACAGTCAACTAAAATTCAGCTTGAAGGAATACATTACAACATTAAAAAACAAATCAATTAGCTCTCATGTGTATTAACTGACAACACCCCATTCCTTCCCTACAATTCAGTTATTCAGAGGAATGCAACAGCTGCACAGCTCATGGAAGGACTCATTTTACTTGGAAGCCCTAGAAGATCACAGGCCAGGATAAAAGCCGCAGCAATTACCTGCTGCACAACACAAAAAGATGTTCCTTTAATTGTGCTTGAACTGCGTCACCTCCATAACATCAGGAAAGAGCACATGAAGATAACAATTAATTGTCAAGGGTGAATGTGGCAATCAGACTCATCAGATGCAGAAAAACGTTTGAACAAGATTTAGAGCATCCCCTGCAGCTGCAGTATGAAAGCTCTGGAGAAAGATCCCATACACAACTATGGCAACCATAAGCCTAATGCAGAGAACAATACACCTCATACATTAAAAAAGCAGGGGGGGTTTAAAGGAGATTGTTAGTACCTGTAAAGTCCTGGTTTTTTGCCAGAGTTTCTCTGAATTTTCTATAGAGCACATTGGGAAAAGATTACATGATTCATTTATAACAGTTGCAACACAGGCATTTCATGCTGATCGGCATTGACCAATGTGATCCAACAGACGCATATTTAAGGTAATAATTTGTGAGAAATGATTTTATAGAGACTGTTGCTCAAAGCAGTTCACAAAATGAAATGAAAGGAAATGAGAATGTAATACAGCAAGAAAAGTATCTCAACTGTAAGCTCCATTAGACAAGGAAACAGAACAATGGACCCCTTAACACACTGCACTTTTGGCAGCAAAAGATCTGGCACTCTTTTGTCTCCAAACTGGAGATCCATCAAAAGAATTACTGCCCCTGCCCCTTTCTGCACTAGATGGGGGCTGTGACAAGGGAGCACTGACTTGCTTCTGAGAGACCGGGAAGGATGCAGGGCTGTGGAGGGGTCCTTTTAAATGAGGAGTTCTGTGCATAACTTATGAGTATAGACACATCATAACATATTCAAATAAAGCAGAGAGCCCATTGTTTGAATCATTTAAGCGGTCTGGATGGAGTGCTAGAGATTATGCTGTCAGAGTCATTCATGTATTGACAGGGGAATTGGATTATATAAATGAATAAAAATAAGCTTGCAAAGCAACGGGCTGTTATGGTATCAGCGGCACAAAGAATCACGTTACTGAGAAAATACTAGTTTTAAACGTATTGTAGAGACCCAGCTCGAATGGCTATACTGGGATGGGGCCCACATGTTGCACACTCAGCAGGTGTCTCGCTCTCTTGTTTTCACATTTGTCCCACAACAAATTGGTATAACCAAAAAGGGGTATCAAGAGATGGTATCTGATGGAGAGAATTTGGCGGAGACCAGCACGGGTCATGACATCTACAGGTCTTCTGTGGAGCTCCTCTTCCCCTACACCCCACCCCTTCCCATTTGGGTGTTCTTGTTGGTGCAGACACCCATTGACATTGGGCATCTGGGCCCGTTGTTCAGGCCAAGAAATCCACGATGGGAGGAAACTGTGTTGCCCAGAGTCAGCATGCCTTGGCTGAGTCCTCCAGTCTTTGCTGCAGTCCTGAGATCAATGGCTTGCAAAAAAACTAATAAACCAATATAACTTAAAGGGCTGTGTCTGTGCCTGCTTTACGCCTTTCCTTGGCCAAGCAGGGTCTCTCAGCCACCTTCCCTCAGGGCTTCCCCTTTATGAGTCCAGTCTGAGTGGGCCGGTCCATCCCGGAGCCAAACCCTTGGGTAATGTAGGGCCAAGGATATCATAAAGCCCTCAGTAGTCCATAAAGGTACCTGACATCCTGTGATGGGACACTGGTCAGGTCTGACTTCTGTCGAGAGTCAGAGCGATCCTGATCCCTGGCTCCTGGTCTTTGGCTTCCATGGAGGAATGCTGGGTGACTCTTAGCCTGTGCTGGCGTCCCCCCCTCCTGGGGTCAGTGCAGCTTTACATAAGTTCTGAGCTGGTCTGTGCCAATCCAGATCCATACTTGGCCCTGCGTGCCCTGCTGATGCTGACAGGTGCAGAGAGCCCTGCTGACTCCGTGCCATAGGCAGCGCTATTTGTGCCAGCTGCCTGCCTTCCTCTCAGGCTGTGGCTTGTGCCCACGCGGGGCTAGGATGCCAACCTTTACCCCACTTTGGGAGTGGAGCCTGGGGAATGTCTGCTGTGCACTGGCCGCCTGTCTGGCAGTGCAGCGGGGCATGCTGTTGTCGGGTGGGCTTGCCATTTCTCCGCGGGCTTGGCCAAGGGTTTGCCACCTGAAAAAGCGTGCCAGCAGCTATCGTTCCGGTAAGTACGGGACTCGGCCCAGACCCTGCCACAGGTATCTTAGAATAAATGTCATCAACTTGGAGAAACAAGAAGCACACAATTATTTAGGTGGCTTCAGTTAGGCTCGGAAGCGGTGAGACACGCGCGGGTGAAAGCTCGCTGCGCCCCTGCTCCCCCGAAGCCCCCCCG